TAGCAGGTTATCTTCAGAGAGTAAGCTGCTATGGTTACGTACATACCCAGAAAGTTAACCTCCGTTTTTGGAACCGAAAGTTGAGGTTATCCACTAACTTACCCATAAACATACCAAGGTATGTCACATAACCTGCTTTCTGGAATACCCCCCAGAATGACATATAAGGGCAGCCCTGGAAACACAGAAGTGCTAGTAAACTTCTTTGTAGTCACTCAGAGTAAATACATATGACTGGCTCTTTGGTAAACAGGCCACTTTGTAAAAACAACTTGGAAAAAGCTTTAATTAAAACATTTAAAATTCACACAGAATCATATAAAAAAAAAATCTAAATACAAACTCTTGCATTGTGGACAGCTTTATCCAAACCAGCTAGCATATCAGTTTTGGGCCCAAGATGAAGCTTACACGTCACACTAGTAAATTTACAAGCATTTGCTTACATGGCCACGCCCGGCTTCATTCGCAAAGTGCAAGAGGAATCCTTCAGATCCTGTCTGTCTAAGCTGACCACATAGATCTGACTGACCACATAGATCTATCTGGCTTGTTGGGTGCAGGGAACAGAGGAACTTAGGCTGAAGAGATGCCAAGGTTCTGTGCCTCACAGGCTAGCCAGCTATGCCACGATTCCTTATAAGTAAACATGCTACAGTAATGTTGCAAACATGACACTGGAAGGCTTAAATACAGTACCTATAATGAATGTCTTTGGCTCATTTATGCAGAACCTTTTGCAAAATATTATGCCATATGTGAACAAATGGAAGTAGCAATGTGTCCCTCCTACAGGCCTAGTTGTGATGTAAAGTTATCACACTTGTGTCCTTGACTCTTATAAAAATTCCACAGTAAGTACTGTTGATTCGACTCTAGTCTGTGTAGCACCAGAACCCCCCAGTAGATACAGGGGTGCTGTGAGGGGTTGAACTCAATGGGCATGAAGCCCTGGTGATGCCTGGCACTGATATTAGCTACCTCTGCACACATGCCCACATAAACATCATCAATGGGAAAGAGCAGCACTTCAGAGGAGGCTTGCAGCAGCAGGCGGATGGTTTTGTTGGATATCAGGTAGCCACCTCCTCCCATGTATGGAGGATAGGCCCCAGAGTACAGTGACCACGGAACGTAGTATTTGTTCCCCCACAAGCGTACAGGAAATGTGTTAACAAACAGGCGGCCCATATACAGAGGCTCTACGTGGGTTGGAGGTCCCCGCAGGAAGTCCAGCACACGCTCCACATCAACAAACACGTCATCGTCCCCTTTGAGCACATAACGGATGGAGCCCATGCAATGGTCCTGGAACCAGTGCCAGAAGAGTAACTCCTTCAGGGTCACATTGTAGAAGGACTCCTGGAAGTCCCACTGGAGGATGTCCCTGTATAGATTGTTCTCCTCCATCACCATGGAGTTCAGGGCTGTGGCGTACGGCCCCACCCCCTTGTCCGGGATGCTAAGCAGGAACACCCGTCTTACAACCTGCTCGGACTGAAGGCGATCCTTCCCCCAAGTGTTTCGGATAGCCTGTCGCTGCTCAAAGTTGGAAATGTGCGACTTCACTGCAAGCAAAAGGGTGATGGGTCTCCGGGATGGGCAAATTCGGGGCCCATGCAGCAGAGGGTAGGTCTTAACTTGCCGAGACAGCAAGAAGGCCTGGTGAAGGCTGGACTGCCACTCGCCAGTAAGCCCGTCGTTGTAAAACAGGACGAGCAGCAGAGCTGAGGTTGATAGGAAGAACATTGTGTACAGAAGCCTTCGAGGTAGGGATGGAGCCTTCTTCAGCTGTGCCGCTGCAGGGAAAAAAAGAGAGAAGGTAAGGCTGCGGGGAAAAAGATATGGGGGGGGGCAAGGCTGGAGTACCCCCATGACGGGATTCACATTCGTATTTACATTTATTTATTTAGCTATGCTATTGTCAAACCATACAGCTGTCAAAGGAGCCAAGGAAGGTCAAGGTGGTGCTAGGATAAGCGATCAGTGACTAGTGCAAGATGGGAGCTAGAACTGTAAAAAGGAGATTAGTGTCTCGAAAAAAGCAATACAAGTGAACAAGAGTCTAAATATTCTCCAGGAAGTGCAAAATTCAACAACATATTAAGCACTGTCAAGTCAAAATCACTGGAAACAGGAACAGTCAACAATGACAGAAAGCTGGGTCAGTGGAAGGGGATGAGGTTAGATCAGGTGTTTCAGGAAGAGGTGGGTCTTCATATTTTAAACGGAAGATTTGACTGTAACACAAATGCAATTCTCCAGCAAATTTCAGATCATTTCAGATCATTTTAAGAGCAAAATCACATGCATTAATAGCCATCTTTTTATTTGCATAATGTCTTGTCATTATTATTATTTATTTGTACTGTATTATTACTGTTCCGATTTACCTACATATTCAACTAAAAGGCAGACTTAAGGAATTAATCTTGTTCATAACCTGAGGACTGCCTGTAAACCCCACCGCTGGTCCTGTACCTGGCTGAACAAAAAGCACCTCGGAAGGGGACTAAGAAAGGTCCAGGAACTACCTCCTGCAGTGGGAAGGTATCCCCTCCTGATGGAAACTATATAATTGCATGCATGACACAACAGAAATGTGATCAATGCATGCATAGATCTGGACACAACAACAATGCTGAGGCAGTCGACAGTCTGCAGGAATCCACCAGTTGCACAGAGAGAGAGAGCTGTTAGAAGCTACACAGTGGGACTGAGGTAAGAATTTCAGTGTGGTCTGCTGCTTAATTCATCCTGAAGCAGACCAAGAGCCTCAATATTTCACGCCAAGCCAGCCTGTATTTCTCTATGAATTATGTATTACTGAGATGGTCCAAGACGTTCATGTTCACCCACTGTTATGTCCGCGTGCGTGTGAGTGTGTATGTGGATCCATCTTTCCCTTCAAATCTCGTTCAGCAAGTCTGCCGATCCATTGCCACCGTTTCCATTTCTCTCCATGAACGCCGTGCCAAATCCGGATGAACTGGTTTCCGTCTCCTCATTCCCGTTTCCCGCTTCTCCCCTCATGGACTATAAAATAAAGCCCCACAAAACCCATTGGACAGCTTCTGCTTTAGCTTTTACTATTTTTTTTTGTCTTAGTTTGTGATTATTGTATTTGACTGCCCGTCACGATCCGTTTCGGTTTTCGGTACACTCTCTTTCGGATTTCGATTTGGCCATTATACTCTTGTGTTTGTCTTTGATATTTTGACCTATTATCTGATTAACGACTACTCTTTGGATTACGGATTAGATTTGGTTGCCCCGTGTAAATACTATGTAAATTCTTTGTACATAGAATATATATGTGTAAAGGTTGCAGGGAGTGGCTGCCATTTGTTTTTTTTGTGTGCAACATTTTGTCTCTGTTTTGTGCTTAGAAAGGGTTAGGTTAGTGACTGTCTCGTTTTATTTTTCTTTTGGGTTAGGGAAGTTTTCATTGGTATGCTTGTAGGTAGTTAACTGGGTTTTGTTTGTTGTGTTGCCCTTTGTCACTCCCGAAGTTCACCCTGGCGTTCACTTATCCCACATTTCCCATATATACCTATATCTGTCTCCGTTAATATCATCGCCCTGGGTGTTAATTATTTCCCGACCTCCATACCCTCTACCCCCCCTTTCCTGCTCTTATCGCTGCTTACGCCCCGACCGTAGACCGGGACGTAACGCAGCAAAACCGTATTTAGATCAGCAACTTGGCCTCTTGGACAAACTGCCTGACACACAGCACAGCCTCAGAAAAGCAACCATTGTCACTGACAGTAGTAAGGGATGATACACCTTCCCACATCAAAGGATGACTTAACACACAGCAAGCTTGATTGGTTAGCTCATCATGTACACAAGTTATGAAAAATTCAGAATAAATTAATTGTTCCAAATTCCATTCAATAATTGGAATTTGAATTGAATTAACCATACCCCACAGGATGTTGAATTGGAATTTGAAATGTATTGGTAGGAAGAAGAATTTAAGTCATTTTAATTCAAAGAAATTCAATGTAATCACACAACACAGGAATGGCATTCAATCTAGAAAGACAAATAATTACATAATAGATTTACTTTCTAGACAGCATATGTATATACTGACCTTGGGTATGTAGAAGGGAGTGAAAAGTACTTTATTTTATTTGCATGAAGACAAACATTGTGTATAAGTTTTAGCCTGTTCTAACAACATACATTTGGTTTATGATGGCCCTCCTTTTTCATTGCCACATAGTTATTCTTTTGGCATATTTAACCATTTGTTTGTCTTACCATTTTTGAGGAGTCTACAGTAGCCTGAGTGTCCATGGGTTGTCAGACGGATAGGGTTGTGATAGGGTTATTGTATGACGTTTACCATAGTAAACTATTGTTAAAAGCTGCACAGCATGCACCTCCACCTTGGATATGAAATTTTATGAATTCAATTCATTTTTCATTCTCCTTCATTAAAATTTGAATTACAATTTTGCACAGTTTTCATTTATTTAATTAGAATTTGATCATTTCTGAATGCTGCACAGCCATGCTATGTAATCAGATTGTATACTGGTGTTAAAGCTACAATGAGGCCTTTTACACAAATATATGCCTACATTATAAATTTAGAATTTGGTGATCAGTGGTCATTGTTGACACACCACAGCATAACAATAAAATGTGGCCTCTGCATTTAACCCATATGTAACATAGCAGGGGGCAGCTAATTCAGCGCCCGGGGAGCAGTGCTTGGGGACGGTACCTTGCTCAGGGTACCTCAGTGGTGCCTTGCTGGTCGGGGATTCGAACCAGCAATCTTTCAATTACAAGTGTGCTTCCCTAACCATTAAGCCACCACTGCCAAAATTTTACAAGTAAATAAACAAGTCAGTCAGTGGTCTTGGCCCAGTTTACATAACATGGGGCTTGGATCAAATGTTTAAAACCAAGCTTAATACATTCCAATTACAGTGTGCTTTTTACTACACATTCATTAATCAATGTTGACGCTATTTATTGTATTCTTATTGTCTTTTACTTGTATAGTCTTTTCCCCCGATTTACTTTGTTACTGTTATTTGGGGAAAAATTTATGTACAGCTCTTAGAATGACCTCTGCGTTTGAAAATATGATATATAAATGAAATTGCCTTTCCTAGATTATAATTTTATATTGTAACATTGACCAATTAGAGTGATATCTGTACCCACGAGCGTAATTGGTTTGAAGACACAGCACGTGGGTACAAACAATTTTTCCCATAAGGAATAATGGGAAAGGGATTAATTGGTTTTCCGGCCCCAAAATACCCACATACAAAACATTTATAGGCACAATAATTGAGCTTTTAGTGACAATATAAGTAGTATTGATTGAGAATATCATATTTTTCGGCATATTACTCACACTTTCATCATTAAATGCGGCGTAGCCTACATCGAGCATAAAAAATGTTGCTAACAATAAAACATTGAAAAACAAGCCTACATTTTACAGTAAATTGTGTTACTAATAAAAAAAAATGTAGAAAAAAGGGCAAATTATCGGTGCTATCACAAATTTAAAGTTGAACATCATTTTATTACAATTAACTATTAGTGTAGTTTAAACATTACATCAAATAGAACAGTAACATAATATTTAACAAATTACAATTATTAATAAACAATAAAACAATAGCTTAATAAAAGTTAGTTTTTACATATTATGTACAACATATACAAAACCATGTTTTGTTTGGGTGATTTTCTGTGTAGATCCAATGTGACGAGTGCATGTTGTGGACACATGTGAAATGCACAGACCTCACAGAACAGGAAATTGACACCATCAGTATTTCACAAAACTTTCACAAATCAGGGTGAGTCCTTCTAGGATAGATGAAGGTGTGAAAGTTTTGATTTGGTCAGTCAGAGGTCATCTTGGTAATTATTAGGGCCTTTAATCAGTCATAACTCTTAAAATATGACTTGTGAAAGCTTTAACAAATCAATGTCAGTGTCTGAGGGGTATATGAAGATGTGAAAGGTCCTTGTTTGACCATCACAAGTCATCTTGATCAGTTTTAACCAGTTTAAATGCATGTATGATTAATGGAATTATTAAAATATGTGTATTTGGGCTATACTGTTGGTCCACCTTAAGAACTATCTGTCCGGTCCTCCTTAAAACGCGCGTTTTTCAATGTGTTTTTTATGGGTTTACACGCGATATATGGACAAATTATCAGTTGTGAAATTTTTCACAAATCAGGATGTTTAATATGAGACGCTTTTTGAGTCATGAGGACGTCTGGTTTTGACGTGAGAAGCTAATGAAAATAACTGGTCAAAATACATTAAAGGCTGTTTTTACGCAATGTATTTATATTTTCTGAATTCACACAACAGGACTATCACAAGGAGCCATAATTCGTATTTTTTCGTGCATATATAAGGTTTTTATGGCCGTTTGCAACGTGAAAAACGAACCGCAAACTAACTTTACCGACGTGATGTACGTTACGTATCATAGCACCGCTCTGGTGGCATGTCGCACCAACTCAAAACAGCTGTTAGAATGAGCCAGCTGAAGCAATCGAAAGAAATCGTATCGTATCTTTTCGTTCCATTTAACTGTGCGTTTCAGTTTAATAGATTTTTTAAAACTAAAGTTACCGCTGACCCGGGTGCGCAAGTTTCCCTTGTTCCCCATTGTTTATGCATTTAGAGATAACTAGGCGGGCGGGCTCGCGGTAACGCTCGTGGCTCCAAACATTGCTCGTGAGTACACTGAGATTTTATTAAATAAAAAGGCTCGTGACTCAAGTTTCCCTTGTTCCCCATTGTTTGTGCATTTAGAGATAACGAGGCGGGCGGGCTCGCGGTACCGCTCGTGGCTCCAAACATTGCTCGTGGGTACATTGAGATTTTATTTTAAAAAAATGCTCGTGACTCAAGTTACTCGTGGCCTCAGACGCTCGTGGTTACAGGTACCACTGCATTATTGTTGTTGCTGCTGTTATTGTAGTGCTACGAAAAATCGTCAGTGTATTTTTTCTGATCAGTTAGAGCGACCTCTGTTTATCTGTGACAGAATTATAGCTGTCAAAATATAGTCTGACGCTGAACATCATGCGTGTGTGTGTTCAGTCGTTAAATTGACGAACGAGATTACGTAGTGCTTTAGTTAGGAAGGGTTTAGGGGAATACTTAAGGGAGTACGAGAAAACGAAGTACTAAGCGGTACGAAGCTCTTGGAAAGGCATTCGAGGTTGTGGCTTAAAGTAATACTTTAATGTGAATCACATACAACGAATTATTTTAGTTAAAACAAAACAACAAAGTTTATACGACATAAGCTAATTATGATCAGGTTAGAGCTCCAAGGAACCAATTGAAACCGCTAAACTGATGCAACTTTACTGCCCCCATTATAACGAACTATACCATTTAAAAGGAGAAAACGCTTGACCCCGGCTTTCTTTTAACAGTGACATTAGACGATTAACGAGTAACCAGATAAGTACACGTGGGATCGTAGTAAATCTGCTATGGCAGCGATCGTCCTCCATTGTAATTTGATGTATAATTTCACCGAAATACAGGTTGAATGCCTGCTGAGACATGTTTAGAAGACCACAGTTTAGTTAAAACTGTAACGAATCTGGCGAAAACCGGCGTGGGAGCCGTCATTCATGAAACGATTCGCTTTAAAAGGCTTAAAAGTGGGGAAAATATGAATGAATGAACTCACCCATCTCCTGCTGTATATCCGACCGCTTGAAATGCGGGCCTAAGGTTCCGTTTTACGATCCTTCATTAAATCCCAGGCCTTTTACCACCACTCATTCCTAATATTGTGAGGGGCTGCGATGGGATGGATGCAAACCAGCAAATGGGCGTAGCGGCCACGGTCGCGATGGTCGAAATCACCGTGGCATCTTTCCGCGTATAGAGGCGCTTCCGCGTTTCTGTTGATTATTTATTTATCGTCTGCGCAAACAATTAAACAATGACTCGTTTTCATTTAGTTGTCATATGCATTATTTCTGTTGCCTAACCTACACTATAATTTATATTGCAACATTGGCCAATTATTATTGTCATCATTATTATTGTTGTCCTAAAAAGAACTTAAGTGATTTGTCAAAAAAATTATCAATTTGTATCTTTGAGGGCACAATTACTTGTCACTGGTGCTGTTCCCTCACGACTTTTAGTCTAGACCCTAGCTGTACGTAAATGTACCTTTTAAGATAAAGAAATTGATCATGAGAAACATTTTTGTACCATTGGAAGTACAATTATATATGTACCGGGGCGATACCCTTTTTTCTTACAGCGTATGTTTTAAATAATCATTTAGGGCGACTTCTGTCTCTGTGAAAGAATAGTAAAAGTACAAAGTGCGACGCTGAAAGTAAGGAGTGGGTGTGTTCGCCCCTTAAATTTAGGAACGAGATCACCTACTGGTTTCGTCACTAGGGGTTTCGGGAGGAACTTTCGGGAAAAACTTCCAGCAGCTGCAGCAGCGCAAATTGGTGACGTCAGCCCGTCTTTGCAGTTTCCCAGGCACTTGTGCACATCATAAAAACAATGTCCCATTATTTGGAATTGCACAAACTGCAAATGCTTTGACACATTCATGCAAATGATTATTTGCAATTTTCTGGTGTTTCCTACATTACCAACTGCTTAGGTCATGTGGATCAAAAAGTATTATACTGGTTCTCTGTCATACCATCCAAAGCATCTAGGCATTAGATCATTGCATTGAAAATGGTTAAACCATTTGTCATAATCTGTCAAACATATTTTCCATACATTTGTATTAGACTTTTTATATATAAGTGTGTCCTGAATTGATGAATTGCTCTCAGATGAATCTTGACTTTCACTAATGGAGGGAATTTTTGAAATGTTAGATCAACCAATAATCAACCAGTTCTCTAAAATATCTGAGAGATGCATCTCGTGAATCTTCAACTGGCAAGCTTATATTGTCAGAGGGTTACAGTTTATGACAATGAGAGAAGAAGGAAATGAACAGAGTGAACAGCTGGTAATAAGAAGAGGAGTAAGGCTGCATGGTGGATGGGCAGGAAGGCAAAACAGAGGATAGTTTAACATTGATAAATGTAAGGTAATCTATGCAGGGAGCAAAACTATATAAAGTACAGATATTTTATGGGTTCCACTGAAATAAAGATAGCTGATTCGGGAGAACATTTTAAAACGAATTTGATGAAGCACTTCTTTACGCAGTGTGTAGTTAGAGTATAGAATAGTCTTCCTACTAGTGGAACGCAAGCTAAAACCTTGGGTTCCTTTAAATCAGAGAGAGATTTTAACAACTGAGCGATTGAGAACTTACAAATAGTGTGGTTAAACTTACAAGGCTTAATTTACATAAGAACATAAGAAATTTACAAACGAGAGGAGGCCATTCGACCCATCAAGCTCGTTTGGGGAGAACTTAACTAATACTGTAGCTCAGAGTTGTTAAAATCTTATCTAGCTCTTGTATACCTGGATCATGTCCCCCCTTAGTCTCCTTTGCTCAAGAATGAACAGATTGAACTCAGCTAACCTCTCCTCATAAGACATCCCTCTAAGACCAGGAATCATTCTTGTAGCCCTACGTCGAAGCCATTCCAAGGCAGCAATGTCCTTTTTAAGGTATGGTGACCAAACCTGCACACAATATTCTAGGTGGGGTCTTATCAAGGAATTGTATAATCTTAGCATCACCTCACTTGACTTAAACTCCACACACCTAGAGATGTAACTGTAAGGCTGGAGGCCTTGCAGGCCCCGTCGGTCTGAGCTCTGGCAAGCCTGTAATGCTCCACCCAGTGTCCTGAAGCAAAGGTCCACCGGCTCCGACAAGACTGGACCCAAATCATCTGATCACCACATCAAAAGGGACATCTCACCCGCACTGGGCGGCCAGAACCCTGCAGCCAAATTCCAGCGACAAGGCCTGGCTGTGTCAAGAAACAGATGCATCATACTCTCGCTAACTCACACCAATACAGGAGGTATTACCCCAGACTAACATTAAGGAAACATACACCCATGTTTGGTCTCGTTTGAAATCAAATTCGTTTTGTCATTCAAAGTAGGTCTAATAGGATTTTTTAAATTTCACGTAACGCTGTCAGTGAAATTTTATTTTATAGAGACGCAGCAGCAGCATCAACAGAAAAAATTGAGGAATTTAAAATGTAGATGCTTAACCTGTATATTCTTTAGACTATTAAGACCATTGATTCCTTTATTTTTAAGCCTATTTTTGTGTAGAATGCCATTGCCAAACGTGTATGTTGCTTAAAAATAAATATTTTCTGAGTGGCAATGTTGCCGTTGCTCATATTTTTTTATGATATAAGGCTTCGGTTTAAGGTGACATTTGTTAGGCATGCAGATTATTTGTCTCTCTTTTAAATTAGAGCGAGCATGGAGCGATTTGACTGGAGCGAGAGGAAATTTTAGTGTAGCGAAGAGCGGTGTTGTGCAGAGCGACTTAGTGTGAATTAGAGCGGAGGAGCGGGCGGAGCCAACAGCCTCGTGAGCGATGAGCGGAAATTCTCACCGCTCCACTCCGCTCACATGCTCTGGTAATCAGAGCTCACACATAGTGCTGTATGAATCTTCATCTGTAATCAGATATTTTCTGCAGTTACTATGTGTCCACTCAGCTGAGGTATGGAATTGTTGTATACTTTTAATTGGATTATATAGTTTAGGAATTGAGGCCACATGTTAGAATTACTGTTATGTTATATTTGATTAAATTGATGTGATATATATTAATTGTGAATAAACTGTGTTTTGATTACTTCTTGGCTGCCTGCTAAACCTCTGCATGTTCCTCAGAGACTGGGGTTATTCTAACAATCTCTTGAAGGCTCTGCCTCGACCCCATTTCTCCGGGACTCGATGCGACTGCCCAAGTTGAGTTACGGTGAATACCGGCTCAGCCTCTGAGGTGCGCACACGCTGGGTTACGGTAAAAGTCCGGCCCAGCCTCTGAGGCGCGCACACGCTGGGTTACGGTAAAAGTCCGGCCCAGCCTCTGAGGCGCGCACACGCTGGGTTACAGCAAAGTCCGGCCCAGCCTCTGAGGCGCGCACACGTTGGGTTACGGTAAAAGTCCGGCCCAGCCTCTGAGGCGCGCACACGCTGGGTTACGGTAAAAGACTGGCTCATTTAGATTTAGTTTTGCTGGAAACTGGTATGAAGTCCTCTTGCACTTGCAAAAATATGCTTTTAAAAAATTACCATATCTCTTCAACAGTTTTGCTGTTGAATTCCATCCAGTTTATAGTTTCAGTCTCATACCATTAAAGTTAGCCTTACTAACATTGGGCCTGATTCACCAGTATTTTCATAAGAATTCTCTTAAATTAGTTCCTACAAAATTTAAGAACAACCTACGTCGGATTCATGAGGTGTTCTTAAGTAGCAGAATTGTTCGCACCTTTGTTCTTAAGAATGATGAATCCCAAGTCTTCGTAACTGAAAGTGCTTGCAAGTTTGTCCTAATTAGCATAGGGAAACGCCCTGCAATTTCCCATAAAAGGGCATGAGACTGTAGGACCGTGTGCAAGGAATGGCGAAGAGACACATAGGCTGTGGGCCGCTTGGTACGAAGAGGAAAAAAAAACTTCAGTAATGCTGAAGTAGAAGTATTAATACAGTAAAATCCCGTTATAGTGGACTAGCTTATAATGGTCCCAGCCGTGCGCCTTCATGAACATGCAGAAAAAGCATCGGATATAGCGGACTCGCATATAACGGAATTTCGCTTATAAAGGACAGACAATTTGGTCCCCAGGGCCACTTTTAGCTGTAGTTTTGTTGGGCTATAACAGACATGCAGCTCCGCCTACAAGGCGCGTGGTGTGCCGGTGATATCCAGCGTAGATACGTAGTCGGGATTATTAATAGTCACGCATCTGGTCAGGTAAAGTTGGATTACTACATGTACAATATAATAATCTATACCACAAGTGTGTCTGCTGGGGTGTGGCATGAGTAAATGGTGTCCTGTAGTTGTGTTCTGGGCATACAGCAACTCTGGATATAACAGACTGTTTTGCCAGGTCCCTTGAAGTCTGTTATAAGTGGATTTTACTGTACAGGAGGTAAATGCAAATAGACACATATTATTTAGTAGCGTAACCAGTGGATATAAAGCCCCAAAGAAAGCTGATACATGGAAAGATATCACCTTCTCTGTGAACGTTGTGTGCCAAATAAATCTAAATGATCTTCAAACATGCGTTCCCTTCTCAGAGCACGATTGGCAAGCTCTTCAAGAAGTAACAGAAATGCCATTTTGATAGCAAGGCCAATGCGCAGAAACAGACCTATTTATAATCCGCATGATTGCCATTACTACCATGAAAATAATTTTTACACTTTAAAATTATTTTTTATATTTTACTTTTATAAATGATTAAAATACTATCATTTTATCAACTGTAGACTGAACAAAACTGCTATAACCGATTATTTTGAACAAACTATCATTATTCAAATGTGCGTACGAATGGTCTTGAGTTCGCGTAGATTCTGTTCTTAGCTAAGAACAAATTCAGATAAGAAAACATTGATGAATGTCAGAATCTTCGTAAAAAAAATGCGCACGTGGGGTTTAATTAAGAACAAATTTATTCGTAAGAACGGTTGGTGAATGAGGCCCATTGTATATTTTTGGTTTGGACTTTGCTCTTCAGACACTAAAATTAACCTCAAATTTAACCACGTTGTGATCACTATTGTCCAGTGGTTCTAAAACCTCAAATTTTCCAATCCTATCCTGGTTATTAGAGAAAACAAGATCAAGAAGGGCTTCTCCCCTGGTAGGGGTATTAACAAACTGAGTAAAAAAAACAATCCTGTACTAATTCCACCATCTCAAGTTCATTTACAGAAGAGCCAGAGACTGTGTCCCACTGTATCCCAGGTAAATTAAAATCACCCATAACCACCACATCATTTTTATTACTCATAATCCTGATGTCGTTATATAACATTCTGCTTTCCTCTGCAGCTACATTAGGTGCGCTATAACAAACACCGACAATCAGGCCATTTGAGTTTTTAGCATCAAGTTTTACCCATACAGCTTCTGTACTTTTATGTTTATCAGTGAGCTCCCTTGCCTGCAAGTTCTTTCACATATACTGCAGCACCACCTCCCTTCTTGCCTATCCGGTCTCTGTGGAACAACGTGTAACCATCCATATTGCATTCTTCTCCATCATTGTCACTCATCCATGTTTCTGTTAGTCCTATAATATCGTAAGAGTCTGATGAAATAAAAGCCTCTAAATCGTGTATTTTGTTTCTAATACTCCTAGCCTTTAAGTACAGACTGTGAAGGATAGGCCTTTTACAGTGCCCACTTTTAATATTAATTGGGGCAGTCCGTCTCACCCCACCTATATTCTTAACTAACCTCCCTTCCCCCCCAGTCCCTAGTTAAAGATTCAGGATTAAAGATGTTTATTCGTCACGTACACAGTCGTACACATACAACATGTAGTGGAATGTAATCAGCTGTGCATGATAAAATATAGAGAAAAAATAATGAAAAATAATTCAATAATAATT